AGAGTTCTGATGGAATGATATAGCTTCAGCAAAGCAGATACAGGTGGTGTTTGATGGGGAGCTGATCCAGGTGAGCCACGGAGAGACCATTTGTACTTCCCCACACCTGGGTATATTGCCTCATGCTAGGATGGAGGTTCCATCATGTGTCAGGCTTGCTGCCGCTATAGAGTGAAAGGTAGATGGGGCTCTGGTCCATTCCTGGAGGGTGCAGTTAAAATCATTCCCCAAGCGGTGTTGGTCATTGCCTTCAGGACATGTCTGCAAGAGGTCAGCCAGCATCCTGGGGAAAAAACACCCTCTCCCACCTTTCACTGGGTGCATAGGTGTTAATTAGGATGAGGAAGCACTGCTTCAAAGTGGATCAAAGTACTAGCAGGTGACCAGGGACAACGTCCTGAGCCACCACTGAAACCAATCTCAGTTTTTGCAAGAAGAAGATGGCAATGCCCACAGTAGAGCTTGTCCCATGGTTGAAGAGAGCTCTTTCTTCCCCTCCAGGCAGTGCTCCAGTCTGCCTCTCAGTCTTATCTGTGTGCGTCTCTTGCAACACAGTGAAATGTAATCATTTCTGGTTCAGGAACTCGGAGCTACTCACTTTCCAGAGTTCTTGTATGCATTCCCCCCGTCCCCTCCCACCTTCCAAAACAATTTAAGCTTATCAGATACTACTCATAACTTTACTACTCATAACTTTAACACATTACCTAAAATGCATACTTATTGGAACTAGAAGGTACAATCCTATGCCGGTGATGGAAATTTATACAGCTCTGATTTTGTTAATCTATAAGGTGCACCTCTGCCCTTCCTTCAGGCTAACATGGCTAACCAACTGTCTTCTCTTTTTTGTGACAATGGTAGTAATATTTAAACATGTAGTTGAAATGCAGTTTCCATCTTAATCACCTACCTTAGTTGCCTGCAACTTTCTGAAACTGATTTATTTTGGGTTGTATTTTTAATTGATCTTTAGACATGCATGTATTGGAAAGTTTCAGCAAAATTTAATTCTGATTTCTTTTACTTCTGTGTGGGTGTGTGTGTGAACTTCTTCGTTCTCTGAGCAGAATTTTGCATATGTATGATTAAACAGTGACTGAATCAGTTTTTGCCAAGATTGCTATTTTGTATTGTTGATGAGATATAAGGAACAAACTAAGTTGAAAGGTTATTGGTTTAGCAGCTTTGAAGTTGTGATCATGGAAAGCATATTCACACATGAACAGCTGGGGGAGTGTATTTTAGGGTTTTTTGTGCTAGATCTGTTGCTTAGAGGCAAATAAGTTGCATATAAACAAACTTAATTTGTTTTTGTTTTTTTATTCCATTGAAGGTCATTGAAAGCTGAAAGTGTTGTGAAACCCTTCAGTGTGACTAGTCTTTTAAAATTCTTAATGGTATTTGGAAAAAATGTGCTATTTAGCCATGGCCTTTTGCAGAATACAGCAGTTAAAATAGTATAGAATCTTCTACTTTCTGTTCCCATCTATGCCACTGGCAAAAAATTAAAACATCCTGTTACAAGTAACCATTTATGTTGTGGGGTTGAGGTTGCAATTGTGTGGAAAGGTTGTTGAGAAGTTAGAGAATGTCCAGCGAAAGACAAAAAAGACTTGGAAGGCAAGCCATAGGGGTTGAAAAAAAATTAAGTATGTTTAAGAGATTATATGGGGACCTGATAGCAGTCTTCAAATATCTGCAAGTCTGCCATAGCACACCTTTTTCTCCCTCACTGCAGAGAGCAGGATGTAGTACTTGTTTGGAATTACAGTAAATTGGGCATCAGGAAAACTTCTTTGCTGTTAAAACAGTGAGGCAGTGGAGTAATCTGCTTGGGAAAGTTATGGAGTCTCCTTCATTCAAGGCTTTCAAGAAGAGGTTGGATAAGCATTGGTCAGCTATGATTTAGGAGTAGCAGTGCCTAGAGTGTGCTGTGAGGAGCAACAGTTGGCAGCCCAAGAGATTTCCATATACACATTGTTCACAGACCATGAGGAAGCTCTGCAGCCTAGAGCATGTGGAAGTCAATGAGGACCATGCTAAGCAGCAGGAGAATGAAGCAGAGCTTCACAACTGATGGGGAAATGAAAGAAGATTTAAAAGATCTGATATGTTGTGAAGGGGATAGAATAACGGGAGTTCTGGCTCTAGTTAAGATGTGTGATGCATGGAGTTGTTTGCAGCTCCCAGGTTGCAGTGCAGATTCAAGGGTGTTGGTTATCCCATGTTTCTGGACCTTGCTGGTTCTACATGGGGCTAGGAAGAATTTTATTCTCTTTCCTGTTCTTAAGGGTGTCAGGTTTCAGGGGAGTTTTTGTTCTGTTTTGTTTTCCTTAGAAGCATTAGGTGTTAGCTGCAGCCAAAGCTGATTTTGACTGGGGTGTGCCAGTGCACATAACCTGATCAGCAGGAGCAAAGATTTAGGGCTTAGGTTTGTTCTCTAGGCTTCTAATCATGGTCATGATTAGTTTACTAGGGCAGTATTTTTCAACCTGTAGGTCACGACCCACAACTGGATTGCAAGAATATATATGATAGGGTCATGATCAAACTTTAAAAATGGATTCTCCTTTAAAGGAGAAAAACATGGGAAACTGTGACTTTTCCCTTGCAGGCTGGCAGAGTTCCTGCCTGCAGGGAGCTGCTTGGAGCCCCCCATGACCCAGCCCCCATCCCACACACTGGGTAGCTGGGGCCTGTGAATAGAAGGCAGCAGGTCAGGATTGAGGGGCACTGAGGTCAGGACTGGCCATCAATGTTTATGAATGGGTCCTGCTACAAAAATGGTTGAGAACCACTGTACTAGGGTACCTGTAGACATGGGGACACTGCTCCAACATGCTGTAGCTACAGAGAGTCAGAACAGACTCAATCAAGTCTTCTCGAGTATGCTAATTGGCATGCTGCAGCAGCTGGCGTGTCTCATGTACTCAGTGTCCCTGCACCTCAAAATGGCTGCGGGAACACTTTAAAGATTGTTGAATGAGCTTTGGTTAAAGTGCCCTCACTGCTCTTTTGAAGCATGGGGTGCTGAATACATGAGACCTGGCAAGCGCTTCAATCAGAGCAACTCTTGAAGCCGCTCTAATTAACCCCCCGTTTCGGAGCACATGTAAAGATGCTCCAAGATTTGATTTCTTTCCAGCACAATCTACCAACAGCTATCCTCTACTTTAGCTACTCCATCTGAACAGTTCATCTTTACAAAGACTGCGAATCATTTTAAACTTTTCCCCTCTGGGTCACGTAGTCCCTTTAAAGATGGATTATAGAAGAAAAATAATGGACTTGCCTAGTTGATACAACAGAGCATGGTTTCAAATCATGGCCTAGTCAACTATACCACAATGCCATCTAGAGAGATTGGTGACATGTTTGTTTGTTTTTTAATATAGCACCTTTGAGAAAGAGGTAGGGATTATAAAACCTGTTTTATGTATGTGGAAGCCAGTGGGTTTTTGGTGGTTGAACAGTAGGCTGCTGTCAGCTGCAGTCTCCCAGTCTTTCTTACTTCAGTTTTAGAGGAACTTTGCATACAGCTAAATAAGTGCAAGTGACTTCATTCTCCATATTGTTCTCTCAAGGGTCAGAATAAGTTTAACCCACTAAATCCCAGATCTCTGTATTTAATTATACCAAGCAATTCCTGTCTGCTGAATAATTCTAGTAAGTCATGTAACCTGTCATGAATATCCCTATTACCAAATCCCTTAAAGTGTCTCTTTGCTCAAGGGGTTCAGAATTTGAGTTTACTGTATAGCTTCATAAGACTTACATGTGTGGCCTATATCTTAACAACTCATTCTGAATATGCATGTACAAAGGACATGTAAAGATGGTTTTCAAAGGCTTGCAACTCGGTCAAATTGAAATATTTTCACCAAAATATTGAAAAACACTGCTCCAACTTTAGGATTTCTCCACCAGACTTTATCCTTTCCCTTTTGGCCTATCAGTAATAGTGCTGTCTAAAAACATGAGGTATTGGCTTTAAAGCTATGTACAATTTTTTTAATGTAACCTTCGTATTTTTAAGCTATTAAGGCAGGGAAAAAGACTACTTCAGATGTCTTTTTTTTTTTTTTTTTTTTACCGTTTCATGCAGTTTGAAATTTGAAAACATTTTTTCCCCTTCTAAACGTAATAAAAAATGTGTTCATTTCTTGTGTTGTGTTTTAAGGAGGATGAAGATCAGTTTTACAAGGAAGCTCTGGTTGCAGGATTAAATATGGAGAGCTAACTCCTCTATATGCATTTTCTGTAGTTGTGCTGTTATGAAACATCTTTTGTCTGAGAAGTGTTCATTCTGCATTTTGACTCTCCTAAATAATACTCCTGATTTTCTTTCAGCATCTCTTGAGCGCCTCGTTTCCTGTTCCCCTCTCCCAGTAAAAGGTTAATAATTAACATTATTAAAATTTGTAATATTGAAACAAAACAAGAAATGTTTCCACAGTAATGGCAGAAAACTTTTTTTCCCACTTATTTAAAGATAAATAATTTAAGAGTGCTTAAAAGAACACGTTTTTAAGGTGCTCAGCTCTGATTTTGCATTTTAATGAAGGGGCTAGATTTTCAAACAATAGGTGTTGAACACTTAAGAAAACTGGAATAATTTGTTTAGGTGCTCAGTTGAAAGCCACTGAATACTGATTTATTTTTTTTATTTATTTATTTATTTTTTTTAAATCTGAACATGAATGTGTTGATGGAGCATGGAAAACTAGAAACCATTTGTATCTTTCATCTTGTGATCTAGGAGTAATAGAAATTGATGTTTATAAGACATTTCATATATCTTGATATTTATATCCTGGCCAGAGAGGTTAGTACCATTTTGTACTTCAGTTGAGGAAAGATTATTTCGCAGAAGAAGAAGCTTTATGCCAAAATAGTGGGGTTTTTTATGTGGGAATGCAAATCTTTTGTATCAAGTAAGTGTAGTTTCAAAGCATTAAACTATTCAGGAAACTATGTTGTTGTTTTTTTTTTGACAGATGGCGGAGTTTGACACCAGTTGGACAGCCCATACCAGGAACTAGATTTATTGCATTCAAAGTGCCTTTAAAAGGGGTATGTCTAAAAATGCTATTTCAATAAATCTGTACCAGTAGCAGTAGAAGGAATGATGGAAAATAACATTGTCATACAAACTGCAGACTAGACCTGAAATAAAAATCAGTTAAATTCTTTTGCATTAAAATTATTTATTATGTTGTCCTTTACATAATTCCTTTTTTACAAAATTAATACTGATATTTCAATACACTTATTATCTTATAAATCATATCCATCTCTCTAGCCAATTGGCACTGTTCATTTTAAATATTAATTCATTGATTACAGTGTTTCTGAAATATATCAGTTAAGTCTCAAGCCAGTTTCATCTTTGTTCTTTCCTGAAACTGCTGTAAAAAGATTCCTAAATCTGGTGGTTTTTATAATTAAATAACTTTTCTACTTGACAGAAAAGCCCAACATTAATTTAGCATGAATTACAGATTAAGGCCACTTTTGAAAAGGTACATACAGATGTATATCTCTATCTCACCTGTTACTGATTTCATAGGTCTGGAAAAAAGTATTCTATTTAAAAAAATGTTTGCCTAACTGGTCTCTAATCGGGTTTGACGCCTTCATTGGATTCTAACTAGTATACATTTCCATTTTAATCTCTTAAACACGCCAAGCCAAATTCTCTTTTTTTTTTTGAGCTTGTGCCTTTAAAAACTTGAGGGTAGAGGCAGTCATTGATCTAGATTTGATAACCTTGTAGATATATTAAAGAATTTGCATATTTGACTACATTTTTTAACATTCACTTATAGCCTGATAAAACAGTGCTTCAGTTATGCAGGGGAAGAAAGCTTATGTTTTTGGGGGGGAGAGGGGTTGGTGGGGGGAGGTTAACTGTCCTTATATATGAGCTCAGCAGCTCTATAAAACTAGATATCTTTCTTCCATTGTTTGTCCACACATATTCCACTCTAGTTATGCATGTGCTCCATGTGCAGAAAATTGACTTCTTTTTGAATTGCAGTGTGCAGTGGGGGCCATGCTTGCACCTCATATGAACTCTCAACTGCTGTAGCAGAAAGTCTAAGGAACCTCAGCTAGCATTTGATTCCTTCTTTCTGTAGGCGATATTAACTGGGTAGCAAATATTTAGTTTGATTCTCTTTATTATTGGTCTTTTCCTGTTATCAGCTGCAGCCTTTCATAGCAGTGGCAGACACTGCAGTACCAGATAAACTTATTCAAAAGCTTTCCATGCTGAAATTCATAGTGTTGGATGGGTGTGATCTCTAAGGGTATGATCTCTGTTTCTCTGCTTTTACTTGATATAGCATTAATCCTTTCACATAGTCCCAGTACCCTAATTGAGATTGCATAATCTATGGTGGGAGAAGGTCTGTGCCTTTGCTGTGTCTTCCACAGAGCACAGTGGCATGTCCGTACCCATCTATCCTCATTTTCCAACATGGGAAACTCATCTTGGCCATTTCAAAACTCTGGGCTTCAAAAGATCTGTGTAAGAAGCTATGCTGAAACTCAGGTCTATATGATTGCTTACAAGGTTTTCCTACCCCCTCTCTGAGGTTTCACCATTCAAATTTGGACAGACAATGCTACTGTGGTATACTGTGTCAACAGGTATGTGTGGATAAACGATCTTTCTCATTTTGTCAAGGGGCAGCACATCTTTGGAATTACTATGCTCCATCACATTCCTTTGGTAGGGATCCACCTATTCGTTCTACAAAAAAAAATCAAGCAAGACCTACCTTGGAATTTTCAGAGAATCAAAATTGTCAACAACATATTTGTCCTTGACACATTCCTTTACTGGGTTTGCCTGGCACTTTGGAGGCTTTTGCTACCCATATCAGAAATAGATATTTCATGTTTCATTCTAGAAGTGAATGTGAATCTGGTTTTCCTGCTCAACAATTTTCTCCTACTCCCATGGACTTCAGAATTGTTCTGTGATTTCCCCTTGATACCTGGGTTTCTCAAAAACAAATAAACAAGAATACAGAATATTGTTGGTCTAGTAAAAGATATCACCTCTGTCCATGAGCCCCGATTGCAAAAATACAGAATACAGATATGGCTCTCTTGCCTGATTCATCTGTTAATCTATCTGCTTTGACACCTTGCCTTTCTTCCAGGTCCAGGGCCAAATCTGATCTTGAATCTAATGTCACTACATGTAACAGCCTGAATGCTGGTTGGATAATTTAGTTATCCAAGAAATTAAGGAGCTGCTCATCTGAGATCCAAGCTAATTTTGAAGATCATTTGATAATGATCTTCATTAGGCATTCAAAGCTAAACAAAATATCTTTATAGTCCAGGTGTCTCAGCAGCTGCTTTCACCAGTTCCAGCTTCATTTTCAACTCTTCTTATAGTATTTAACCAGAAGTAATCTGCATCTTTCAGGTGCATATAATAGTGATGTCCTCTGACCACATTCGGTTTAGGATTTCACCATATTTTCATCTTAATTGTATGTAGATTTTGGAGTTTTTGCCTGAGAAGAAGCTTCCCCTTTCCCAGGATATCACCCTAGCTCTTAGTGAATAAATAGAATCTGCCTTTGCACTCTTGCCAACCTGTCATCTTTCAATGAAAACTCTTTCTATGGATTATTTTTGCCAGGAGAAGGGGAGAAATCCAAGTTCTCATGACCAGACCTCCATACTCAGTATTTAAATAAGATCCATTTTTGTGATTTGCCACAAGATACTCTCAGATATCTTTATCTCAGCCACCCTATCCAGCTGCTAGCTCCCTGCAGCTAAAAGCCATTCTTCTCCTTTCCCAAACTGTTCACAGAAAGGGTTATCATTCACAGAAAGAGAATGTTCTATCCAGCCCACCAGTGGTCCTGTGGACTATCCAAAGTACAGCAGTGCAGAATTTGGGTTCTCTGGACACCAGTGGACATGACTATCAGCTGTTGCTCCCTGACTCCTCACTGGTGCCCAAATGCAGCTTTGTACAACCACGCACCCCCATCTCCATGCTGCTGCCCAGCTAGAAATCTGCACTGTTGGGCAGCAGGTGGAACATGGGACATGTGATTTGCTCAGAGCCACATTCAGGCAGCAACGTGGAATTCTGGCCGGTTGGCAGTGCGAGGGGCATGGGTCGGCACAGTGTCGAGAACCAGCACCAGCTGCTGCAAACCCCTGGGTGCTTGCCGATGCATGCCCCCCGCTCCACACTGTCCAAATGCTTGCTGTTCCACATGGCTGTGTGCAGCCACATGGCCCTAGACCCATGCTGCCTACTTTATGCTGTATTCATGTTTTCTTCTCCATTATTCCTTTATTCAGATTTCGTAATCACAGGCCAACTTTCGTAGTACTCTTGCAGTCACTCTTTTAAAGGACTCTTTTGGGAGTCCTTTTCCCATCTCCAGACTTGAACTAAGGGCTTATCCCCTGGGGTGGGATCTATGTGGACAATTGCACTTGAGAAAGAAAAAAGTTACCTACACCATGGTAGCTGTGTTTCTCCTTTCAACTAATCCCATGTCCTACCCGTTTGCGATTCTTGGTGGCAAAGGAACTGAGTGACATTTGAGTCACCGCTCCTTTTACCCTTGTTTGTAGGCATTGCAAAGACATTCAGGGCACAGGAAGAGCCACAATGGATGTTGATATTCAGAAAAAACCCAGTCTTGTATACATGGAGTATATGCACAAGTAGAGAGGAACTCCTGTGAAGAACTGCAGCTACTGTTGAGAGTAATATTTTTTCCTATGGTTCCTGACAAGAAAATCAACTACTCTTTACTTGCTAGCCTGCAGCTTAGTTGCTGTATGATTATTTATATAATTGCTCCTACTACTATATGATCAATTTTAAATGTAGTATCTCATAACTTGAGTGATGGAGGTGAAGAAAAGGAATAGACAGGGATAAAAGTGTCTGCCCAAACTATGCAGGGAGAGATGTGAACAAGGAAGGGGAGAAAAACTGCCATTATGTAGGATCGACTGATAAATTGGGATTTTTGCAAGGCAAGTGGATAACATTTTAGTTGTATCCGATTTACTGCCATCAATGTTAATTTATACTGCTATTTTCAAAATTGTTCTTTTTTGTATGTATCACTTTGCAGTATTTTTTATTGAAAATAGTGATTAACAGTGAGATTTACAATTGTTGTGCATAAAGGTTAAGCTGCTCCTGCATTGTTTTTCTGACTTACCAGTGGAGTCGTAATATTATACAATAAAATTGTGGGTTTATGTCTTTTCATCAAGTTTATTGAATTCAGATAATATATTGATATAGTTTTTATATACTTAAATGTTTTGAATGCTTGTTCCTTTTGGTTCTTGATTTATAACATAAGGTTTAGACATTTTTATTCTTATCAAAATTTGTGATGCAAAATCTTAATTATACTTCTTCATTGTAGGCAATTAACCAGAGACTTACACCAACCCAGAAATTTACGCCAAAAGATCTTATTGCTGGAATGAAAGCCCTAAATGTGGAACTTGGATTAATTATCGACTTAACGTATACCACACGATACTATGAAGTTAAGGTAATATTGTAATAATAAGAGAATAATATGCTAGGTTAAATCTTCTGCCTTTTATTTCATAATGTTTAGTAGCAATCTAGAACTGGAATAAACAATTGAACATTGAGTCTTCAACAAAAACTAAAAGTGTTGTATTATGTTGTATTTTTACCCCCAGCTAGTTTTCATTTGTGGCTTCGTGCAAGAGTGTTTGTTTGATCTTACCTAATATAGTTATATTAATATTTATATAACTATAGCTCCCAGAATCACTACTCAAAACTACTGTGTAGCTACATTGTACAAACACCACAAAAATACACCCCCTGTACTAAAGACAGATTCTTATTTTGATAGATGCTAGATATTTTAAAGTGGAATGTTTCTTTCACTCTTCTCTTGTTTGAGTGTATTTCACAAGGTATACGTACTTTGATAAATATTTTCTAAAAAACTCGCTTGTTGCCCTGTGGGGTCAGGCCAACTCACAGGATCTCAATATTGTGTGGTTAGACAGGAAGGTATGATACAATTGCACATATACAAACACACAAATCGATTAGGTGCATACACACACTACCAGCTCGGGCACATACACATCCAAACCAGCCTAGGCACATGCATACCTATCACCAATTCAAGCACATACACTATACACCCCAAAAGTTAGACACAGATCACTAAGTCTTATATCAGGCACACAATGACATATGTATATACACACACACACACACACACACTCTCACCAGTTCTCACACATATAACCCACATACACACAGGTAAGTTCCTAACTTGGATGGTACAGTGTGTGTGTGTGCGTGTGTGCACTTGGGGTACCTGGGATACTTGAGGGAAGGTTCAGGTGAGAGAGAGAGTTAAAGTGTAGGGAGTGAAAGTTGCCAGAACTGGGTTAGAACCGGTGGACTACAGAGAAGCTGGCTGAGGAACTGAGGCTTGGGTTTACTTAAGGTAGACTGGGGCTGGAAACTGAGGCAGACAGCTGAGATATTTGGGGGGGGCAGATAAGTGGTGGCAAGGAGGAGACAGCCAGGAAAGAAACTGAGGCAGAAACCTGGTTGCTCAGGGGAAAAGGAAAAGACAGTGGGAATAAGACAGTGGCAAAGAAACGGGGTTTGGAGGCAGAGAGGAGCTCAGGACAGGTGTTGGAGGTGGCAGTGAGCCAGAAGCGGGAGAGGGAGAACTGAGACAGAAGTTAGAGGGCCAAGGAGCAGAGATTGAAGGAGGGCCAAACCATACTAAAGTAAAACCCAACTTAGGGGTCCAAATAACAGTTTTATTAAACAGACACACTACACAGCCCCATGAAGTTATTGATGCACACGCACACACGTGTACTCACAATGACAGAAGGAGAAAGAGACTCAGTGGAAGAGTTGGAGTTCAGGTAGGGAAGAGAAGCAGAGTCCAAGTCCTTGGTTGAAGAGGGGGTGATAGCTACGTATCCTAGCTGGAAAGGGGTCCTTGTCCAATAGGTGTTGTCCAGAGTGGGGTCTCCGGCAGGGTGTCTGGGTGGATAGGTGGTGTGGCATGGTGCTGGTCCAGATGGAGAAGGCATCCCCCTGGGTCTGTCTTCACTGCCCCTTTTTATAGGGGCAGACCTTGCATGACCCTAGTGACAGGAGGCATGCCCAGGCAAGGGTCAGCCCCCTGGTGTACTGAGCATGTGTGCTCCATGCAGGGATGTGCAGTTTCGGGTGTCTGTAATGGTGGGGTACAATGGTAGAGTTGCTGGTTCTGCAGGGTCTTTTGTCTTTCAAATGCTGGGGTCTTGTCTCTGTTCCTGGGTGAGGTTCGTGGTTCCTGGATGAATCAATGTGAGGTGATGGCCTGGTTGTTACAGGCCATTCAGTCGAGGCCTGCTGCAATTGTATTTCAGTCATTCCCAATCACTCTCATTCATCCGGGAACCAATTTACATGGGAGGGGTACATGAATCATACAGTTGCAACACGGGGGATGCCCAGGCAAAGGACACAAGATGAAGGCTTGACATACAAAGTGGAAACTTGACATGACTTACGCTAACTTATATATAGGCCTAAAACAGTAATCACACTATATAAAAGCAGTACAAACATAATAATTATCACTTATAAAACAGTGGGTGTCGATATCAAAATAGCAGGGAACTTATTTGTAAAGAGGGGAGAGAAAAATAAAACTTACTACCTAAAATAAAATGTTAAAGCTTATCCTACATCTTAGCTTACTTATACTTATCTATAGGGAATAGAGAGGGAGAGAAAAAGTCAGAAATGGTTGGGGAAGGGGAGGGAATACATTTTAAAATAAAGAAAAAAAGAAAAACAGGGGGTTTTGCTACAGGCTTTGAAATTTGTTACCTGTTAATTTTGAATGTCCTCTTAATGTATTTTTGACGTAGAGTAGCTAGGAACATTGTTACCAAAGGTTAATTCTGAAAGGTCTATATTCTAAAAAAAATATATATATATATGGGCAACAGGCCTGAAGTTTGATAGTATTTGTGAAAACTATTAGACCGTTAGTCCAAACTTTACTGCTTAGTCCAACCAATGTGCCTTTACCCTAACCAGGAGGTACTAACAAAGTAGTTTGTTTCCTAATGCAAACCTTGATCATTTTTGCTTCTGCCAGTCTAGGTAATCTTACGAGGGGTGGCCTAACTGTAGCTCACAAGTTGCGTGTGGTCCCTTGGGCAGTTTAAATTATGTCTTGAAGAAAGAAAAGTAATTGAAGAGAAAATAATGTTCTTATTTAGCTGTTGATTTTTTTTTTTTAAGTTCTTGATGATTATTTATTCTAAGAAGTTACTTAACAGCAATTTTTTATTTGAGCTGAGGTGCTGTGTACATAACATTGAGGTATGTATGTCTCAAGTTGTGTCCTGTAACTCTCAGTTGTGCTAATATTATGGGTTATGGCTAGAAGAGTTTGGAAAGTTGGCTACCCTTGCCTTTATAATTATGAAATGATGGTTTTCAGTTGCTATAGGTATGTGTTTGAACCATCAGGATTTCTAAATATATAAGTCTGTCTCTCTCTCTCTCTCTCTCTCTCTCTCTCATGGTGGTGATTTAATGATTGTTGTAATTTTTTCTCTCTGTTGCTAGGATTTACCTAAAAGTGTGCAGTATAAGAAACTTTATACTGTTGGACTTGAAGTCCCCGATAATGCTACTATTCTACAATTCAAAAAATGGGTCAGAAAGTTTCTGTGGGAAAATGCAGGAAATGGTAATTAACATTTTTAATGTTATAAAGACCAAAATATTGTTTTAGTATCAACTATATGATTTATTAATCACAACAGATACTCAGTTCTGTAAATCAGATTTCATATATTTTTCTCATAGTATGGTCCAGTTTTTTACCTTGTATTTTAGGAACTACCTTCCATCCCTTTTGTAATTATGGTATCCCTTTATCAATTACAGCATTATTTACATGGACTACCTTCCTAGAAGTGGTATATTTTCAAATGTATTTAATGTGATGTAACAGTTGCAAACAAGATGATCTAGGACCATGTGACCAGCTGAAGGTTCACAGACCCACTGATGGTCCATAAACTACAGTTTGGGAGCTACTAGAATTGTTCTGCATATGCTGTGCAAGACTTTCTTGTAGTTTGAAAAATCAAGTACTACTTTTCTTTACTTTGCCATTCATTGTCATTAGTAAGGGCGAGATTTTGTCATTCATTGTCATTAGGGCTGTGCGAAATTTTGCCAGCCATTTAATTTCGACAATTTTGATCAATTTTGAGGTCGAAACAGCAAAATCGGTACGAAAAAAAGGCTGTTGAAATAGGCTTGAAACAAAACGAGGCTGGTCAAAATGTTTCGACCATAGGCTGGGGATGGGAAGTCAGTGCACCTGGGCTGACTTCCCATCCCCAGCGCAAGATCCGGCAGGGGGTGGCAAGGCAGTGCAGCTGGGCTGCTTCCTGGTCCCCCCACGCTAGATCATGCTGGGGGCTGCTTCCCCCACCCGGTGCGATCTAGCATGGGGGACCGGGAAGCAGCCCAGATGGGCTGACTTCCCATTGCTGGCAAAACTCAAAACAGCGTCGAAACAGCCTTCTGTTTCAACGCAACAGAATGGCTGTTTCGACTCTAAATGAAATTCAATGCGAAACGCTGTTCCATCAAAACTCAAGGCAAAACGGAACAGTGCTGTGTCGCACAGCTCTGCTCATCACCTTATTGCAGAAGGAAACTGGGCTGGCTAAACATCATATCTTGTTGAATCCATGCTGGTTGTTCCTTTTTACCATGTTATTCCCCGGGTGCTTAGAAATAGGTTCCTAGAGGTTATGCTTCACTCTTATTCCCAGTATCTAAGTCAGGCTGACTGGTCTAATTCTCTGAGTCCTCCTTGCCCATTTTTTTTTTTTTAAAGGTGGACACAGTATTTGTCATTTTTTTAGTCTTCCGGTATTTTACCAGAACTATCAAAGATAATAACAATGATTCTATAATTATTTCCATCAATTCCTAGAATATAGGATAAAGCCATCTGACCCTGTTAATTTGAAAATATCCAGTTTATTAAAGTTCTTTCCCTATTCTAGGCTGATTATTAGCTTCCTATCCTTCTTGCTGTTTGTCATCTGAGAGCTGACCATTTAAGACTGAAGTAAAAAGCCATTAAATACTTCAGCCTTCTGTACATTGTCCATTATTAGGCTCTTCTCCATTCAGTGAGAAACATACACTTTTTCCTTGATCTTCCTCTTCTAACATACTTATAGAATGTTTTTATTGCATTTTATGACCCTTGCTAGCTGCATGCCTCTTCCATTCATCCTTGATAATATAGCCAAGTTTCTACTTTTATGAGATCCTTTTTAAGCTTCAAGTCCTTAAAGAGTTCAGTAGTAAGCCAAACCAGGCACTTACTGCCCTTCAAATCCTTCTTTCTTGTTGAGATAATATGTTTTTGTGCCTTGAACATCATCTCTCTTTAAGGAGCAACAAATTGTCCCATCCTCCTTTTTCCCATCTATGCATCCTTAAATTTTCAACCCTATCCATAAGCAGCAAATTGAGCTTTCCCCTTCACTTTGGTTTCTCTGCCATTTCTATTAAAATTTCCCTTATACACCATATTCCTAAATATTGCTCCGCAATCGGCATACTGCTGTGTTAGTTGCCCAGCAGATATCACATAATTAAACTCTTCTGTAATCACCAGGTCTTGTGATTCACTTAAAAAAAACCCAAAAGCCTCATCCACTGCCTTCATCTGGTTTGATAATCTGTAGTAAATGCCCATCATGACATCCCTTCTACATTAATTCCATACAGAGTCCCAGAGTCACTTTTGATCTGTTCACATTCCCCTGGCAGTGTCAGTACCTACATGGATCAGCTGCATGGGCTAGTAGTAAGAAGACTGGATGCATCTTCTGCCACCTTTTCTATAATAACTTTGAATTAAGCTCCTGGTGGGCAACAGACCTCCTGAGACAATAAGAGGCATCCAGCTGCTGACTGGACCATCCCCTGGGGAGAAGTGTCAACTTTGTTTTCTTTTTGAGGGCAGCGGCCTTGATGCTTCCAGCCTTTGGGCTTTGCCTCTTCTGTCAGTGAAGTAGATTCCTTCTGTCCCATGTCAGGGCTGTTCTTCACCTTTACTGTTGGGGGTTTCAGAAGTAGAGCACTGTCTTCTAAGAGGTGACCAGCTGCCAGCTTCCCACCTGGCTGTCTTTCGGCAGGGACATGTTACCCACAAGACCAGACCAGAACCTGGGTAGAACCATTAGAGGTCAGAGGCCATACCTGGACACAGCATGTGGAGGAAGAGCCGGCAGTGGATGTGGTTTTAGTGACATGATATTTCCAGCCTACAGTGCTTAAAATCTTCTAGTATTGCATTTCATTACCATTAGATAGTCAGGCTGACTCTGTTTTTGCTTTTGTAAGGACTTTGTAGACTGTAAGTGAACTCTTTGTGGTTGGCTGTAATTTTAGTGATTGTTTTAAATTTTGCCCTCAAAGTCGGTCATGTCTTGTTCTAATTACCTTACTCAATTTCTTGTGCTGTCTTGTGGATTGAAACTATATTAGTTGTGCAGCCTTTCTTACCACCACATTCTCTATCTTTTCCTGTACTGTGCTGAGCTAATCTAGAGCCTCTTGGGTTGGGAAGCGTTGTATTAACTGCTGTTGTACCTCAGCAG